TAAATAAATCACTAAAATAAACAGAATAATCACGGTGGCAAGACTGGACTGTACTGCCGTAATGAGCGAGCGATTCTAAACCACCTCACCTCACTCCAATTACCAAGGGGACACACGCCTCTATAGCGCACTAACTTGAGGATAAAAATTTTCTAACTTCATATGAAATCCATTTAACGAATATTGAATAAGCTGAGAATTTCCACACAGGTAAAAATATGGATTAATGTGGTTATATGTTAACTCGTATTCGTGTCTCGCCCCTAATTTATTTCACCTGTGTTTAATTACTCCTACGTTATACCTGGGAGGGTTAGGTTAGGTTAGTGTTTGGTTAGATTAGGATGGTTATGTGTTAGTGTTAGGTTAGGTTAGGTTAGTGTTAGGTTGGTTAATCTTCAGGTGACCCCAAGAAATGCTGCTAAATATTGTGACCATGACGTGAGTGTGTTATGTAAGTGTTATGTGAGTGTGTTATGTGAGTGTTATGCGAGTGTGTTATGTAACTGTTATGTGAGTGTGTTATGTAAGTGTTATGCGAGTGTGTTATGTAACTGTTATGTGAGTGTGTTATGTAACTGTTGTGAGTGTGTTATGTGACTTTTATGTAAGTGTTATGCGAGTGTGTTATGTGAGTGTGTTATGTGAGTGTTATGTAACTGTTTTGTGAGTGTGTTATGTGAGTGTTATGTAACTGTTGCGAGTGTGTTATGTGAGTGTTATGTAACTGTTATGTGAGTGTGTTATGTGAGTGTTATGTAACTGTTATAATCTGATCGTAATTATCGGTAACTAATGATCTGAGACCCAATCCTTTATAGTTAGGTTAGGTTGAGTTCCTGTTAGAGTACCCCTTATTCCGTACCTTACCCCCTTGAGGTGGCTGGCGTAGGTACCAGCCGAACAACGAACCTTAGACTGAGTAAGGGGCAGGTGTTCAGGGAGTCGATTAAAGGGGCAGGTGTTCCGGGGGGTCGATTAAGGGGCAGGTGTTCAGGGAGTCGATTAAGGGGGCAGGTGTTCAGGGAGTCGATTAGAGGGCAAGGTGTTCAGGAGTCGATTAAGAGGGCAGGTGTTCAGGGGAGTCGATTAAGGGGTTTCTGTGTGTCAGTCCAGTCTCTTGGAGTTCGATTATGTCCTCTGACCGGCGCCGATAACTCGTCCTCTGTGTCTTGGCTGTGGGAGGCGGCTGGACAAGGAGGGTGGGGGGGTAAGGGAGGGTGGGGGGTAAGGGAGGGATATGGGGAGAGGGAGTGGTGAGGAGGGAGGGAGATGGAATGGTGAAGGAGGGAGGGAGGGCTAGGGAAGGGGTAGGAGGGCTGGGTGTTGCTGCTAGGGGCTCTGCATGTGGTCTAGGGTACACTCTTGTGTTTGGGAGATGCTGCAATACATTAGCCCGTAGGCGAGGTGGTACGCTAGCCTGCCCCTCTCTCTCTCTCTCTCTCTCTCTCTCTCTTTGTATGTGTCTGTCTGTTTTCCTGTCTCTCTATTGTTTAATATTTCTTCTCTCTGTCCATCTATCTCTCTGTTTACCTGTCCATGCACCTGTCTACCCACATACCACTTCACTACTGTTCTGTCTATTTCTCCAACTGTAAACTGGCCCCCACTGTCAACCTTACATGTGTGTGTGTGTGTGTGTGTGTGTCTACCTTCACGTCTCCACCACACACCTGTATTCTTCTCTCTCTATGTTAATCTTATCCTCTTCCTCGTGGTCTGTAGGGTGTTGGGTGTAAGGTATAAGAACAGATGGTGTAGAAGGCACGTGTAGGTGTAGGATGTAAAGGTGTAGTGAGTATGGATAGGGGGAGTGTAGAGGTGAGTTGGTGTGTACTCGCGTGGCCATCAAGGTGAGAACATACATGAGTACAAGGTAGAAGTTCCGCCCTCTACCGCCTCCGCCTGTGACCTCTCCCCCTCTTCCCCCCTTCCCCTCCTTCCCCCCCCCTTCCCCTACCGCTGCTACTAAAGATACTCCCGCTAAAATACTCCTACTTGTGAGAATTTAAGAGATAAGAGTTACTGATAAGAGATGGCCATGTTGTTCTTCGGTTAGATTTAGGATGCGGCTGTGTGGTGATTGTGGGGGGGGGGGGGGGGGGGTGAAAGAGGGGAGGGGAGTATAGCAGTGGTGAGTCACGTAACCAAACAAAACAAAAGCTGTGACTTTTTTTTTGTCTTTGTTCAATTACCTTTTTTTTATATCTTATTTTGTTTTATTTATACTTTTATTATTGTTCAGTTTTTTAATTATCTTTTTTATGGAGGATTTTTTTTACGTAAAAGTTTTATCTTGTTGTTAGTCTTTTGTTTGTGTCTGTTGTGTAACTTTTCTTAAGCTTGACAAAACATCAACATTGATTCACTGTCTCACGATTCCTCCGTCAGGCAGTTCCTCCTCTTCCTCTTCCTCCTCCCCCTCTTTCTTCTCCTTCTCATCCTCCTCTTCATCTTCCTTCCCCCCCTCCTCTTTCTCTTCCTCCTCCTCCTCCTGTTGATGATAATGTTGGAGTGATGGTATGTTCAGGACTCCTTCCTTCTGTCCTTCCTTCCTACCTCCTTCTTCTCATCTGATTCTTCTACTCCTTCTTCCCCTGCACCCTCCTCCTTTGTACATATACCCTTCCTACCTCTCCCCCATGTTCTTCCTATCAAGCTCTTCCTACATCCTTATCCTTCCTACCTCCTCCTACCAGCCTCCCTCCTACCAACCTCCCTCCCACACAGCAGTAATCACCACAACTTAAACACCTCATATCGTGGTCTCACTCCCACACCTCACCCACCCACCACTACCCCCCACACCAGCCCCCCCTCATAAAAACACACCGAATACATTTTCTTCCGGTATCAGATTTCCATATAAACGACATTTTTATCAGATGAAACTCAGGAAGGATTTCAAGGCCTCTCGTAGATATTGGTGTCGTACCTGTAGTCTGGACAGGTAATTGACACACTTACCTTTATTGTAGCGTATAATTTTGTGTTTTTGTAATGTATTTCTAGTTTATTCAGTCATGGATTAAAGAAAATGGGAAACAGATAATTTTTAGTGTGAAACAGAAATTTTATTGATGAACAAATCTGAATAGCTTTTGACATATTGTAAACAAAATCAAGAGTATTTTTTTACGATAAACTAAAGTTGTTGTTGTTGTTTTTGTTGTTGAGGGTTAAAAGCTTGGAGGAAAACATGAAACACTGTAACAAGCGGCCGAGAGTTAGAGTATGGTACTATCGTAGGAGAGGATATGAGTGTGGGTGGATATGTGTGTGGGTGCGGGTGGATGTGAATGGATGACGATATATATGAGTGAGTGTGTGTATGGGCGCGACTAATTATGAACGGGTGGATGTGGATGCGGGTGGATGTGGGGTCTAGGTGAGTGATCGACAAAACCTACTCAGCAAATCCTTAAAAGATGATACAACAACAAATTAACTCACAATAATCTTCAATTCATTATAAAACAAAACATTTCATAATAAACTGAACTATAGATCGTAACTCATTTTACTAACCTGACCTGACCTGACCTGACACTATTACATCTAAGGTTGGTGGTGGTGGTCTGGGTGCTGCTGTTATCATGCTCTACTTAGCCTCTGGGAGCTGCAAGATTACGCACATCATCGTGGAGAGAGAGAGGGAGGGAGGGAGAGAGAGGGGGAGAGAGAGAGGGAGGGGGGGGAGGTGAGAGGGAGGGGAGAGGAGAGGGAGGAGTGGGGGGAGGTGAGAGGGAGGGAGGGAGAGAGAGGAAGAGGAAGAGTCAATACCGAGTTCAAATTGGTGTTCGTAATGTATTTGGCCAGGGCAAAGGTGTTTACAAGACCCGGATGTCACGACCACGAGCAGGAGACAGACAGAGGGAGGTTAGGTGAGGCGGTGGTGGACGAGACCCTCAGTGGTATAACGTGTAGAGGGAAGCACTGAGAGAGGTAATGGACTTTGATGGGGTATTGGCCAGATTGGGTTAAAAGCTCCATTATCATCCTCGTCGTTTTGGTGCCTGTAAGATTGTGGTGTTTATTCGAGGCACGTGAAGCTTAGGTGGTGTTGACGGAGGCGCAGAAGGAGGTACTCATGCGAACAGATGAGAAGGGAGGGGGGAGGAAGAAGGTCTCACTCCTCACGTAGATATTTTTTGTTGGGGTCTTTGGGTGGGGATGAGGCGAGGTGGTGGCGTGTATGGTGATGTAAGTACGAGAAAAAATCAAGGACAAAGACCGAGGGAACGACAAGGGTGCAGTCCGTCGTCCATAAAGGCTCTCACTATTGACCTGCCTCAAACAATGTACATGGTGGTGGTGGGGGGGGGTGTAAGTGTCGACACCATTATGTAAACCTGAACTAATGTTATAATCAAATCTCGAAAAACAGAACCCGGATTTAATAAGCGTTTCTAAGATGATGTAAATAAGAGTATAGTGAAGAATGATAAAGGGGGTGGAAAGATGAATGAGAAATATTAAAAAGTAAATAAAAATAAATAAAAATTACACAAGAATAAATTAACAAAAATATACATATGAGAAACTGAGATTCAATACTTTTTTAAAATTCAAATTATATAAAAGTAACAAAATGTGAAATTAACCAAAAGAATAATTAAAACAAATTAGTTATCAAGAGGCCCTCAAGAGCTACTGTATATCAACAAGCGCCTCAAAGTAACTGAAGCTCCGAAACACTACTCACTGCTTTATATAGACGTATGTAAATGATTCACTCAGAGTTATGAAGTGTTGTTTATCGTGGAGTTGAATCCTAAATGTGTGTGTGTGTGTGTGATTTATAGATTTTCGAAGTGCTATGAAAATATTTTATAGTCTCTCTCTCTCTCTCTCTCTCTCTCTCTCTCTCTCTCTCTCTCTCTCTCTCTCTCTCTCTCTACATGTATTCATCCCCGGTATATTAACACAATCAACAGGTGTCATCTGTTGATTCCCTCAGCCACACCCTCCACTAATGAGATCTTCCTTCCCTCCCTCAGGTGCCTACATGTACCTGTTCACCCGCCAGGTACTTCACTGGCAGGCCGCCGACTATGGTCTCTGGGTCACTTACAAGAATCTGCTGGCAACGCTAGGTGAGTGTGTGGCCTACCTGTGACCTACCTGTGGCTTACCTGTGAGTGTCTATCACCTACCTGTGACCTACCTGTGAGTGTGTGACCTCCTTTCCCTAACCTTTGGCAGCATCTTTCCCTCCTCCCTCCTTTGTCATTCCCTCCTCGACATGTGATACCCTCCTTCTTCCCTCCCTCCCTCCATCCATAGAGCTCTCACTGTCATCATCATCATTCTTTCTTTCTCAAAAATCATCAATATTCCTTTCATCCTTCTCTCCTACCAACCACTTATATATTATCTCAGGATCTTCTGTGACCTGGTTTCATGATTCTTATTTGACCTCTCATCCGTTTCAGGGTCACTCGTGGCTGTACCGGTACTGAGTGCTGGGATGAAGGTGTCAGACAATGTGCTGGCCATGGTGGGGGCCTTCTCCTCAGTGTTCGACTATGTGCTGTATGGCCTCGTCTCTCAGGATACCTATTTCTTCATGTGGCTTGGTGAGTCCTCTTGGTTTAAGTTGGGGTAGGGTTAGGTTAGGTTAGGGTAGGTTATGGTAGGGTAGGGTAGGTTATGGTAGGGTAGGTTAGGGTTAGGTTACGGTAGGGTAGGTTAGGGTTAGGTTAGGTAAGTTTAAGTTTGGTTTGAGATGAGTTAGGTTAAGTTAGGGTAAGTTAGATTAGGTTAGGTTAGATTAGGTCAATTCCTGGGAAGAAAAACCTCACCTCGTTATCAAATACAGCATTAAGTTAATTACCTCAGCTAATCAGGATAATGGCATTGATCATTAATTAATTACACAAATGTCCTTTTTTTCCACTCGTCTTGTCTAACATCCACACATTATACTGTGTCATGGCGCCTTGTAACTGATATAAATTAGATTAATATTTCTTTAGTAATTTTTGTAATATTTAATTTTAAAAGAATGTTTTATATATGCATTAATAATCCACTGATAATGTTATACTTGAGCCTAACCTAACCATCCATGTGAGGTTAATAGTGCAGTGGAAGGTCACTTTGTTGTGAAAATTAATTAATAGTTATACTGCCTTGTGTATACTGACCACAGGTGTATATCACGTTTGATTACACACTGGCATTAATTACCACTGTTATAATGATAATAATTAAAATACTGTAATAATAATAATAGTTATAATAATAGTCATCATCATTATCATTATACAGATTTATGATAAGTATACAAACATTGTATACATAAATACTGCTGATTTTATTATTATTATTATTTATTATTTAAAATAATACATAAATAAATTTTAACCCCACTCTCCCCTCAGCTCCCGTGGCCGCCTTGCTGGTCAACTCTTGCGCTATTGCCATCCGGGCCATGTTGTCCAAATACGTGGCCGCCGACGAGCTAGGTAAGTCCCTTCTGTCTCACCAAGTCACTCATCAGACACACACACTCTCTTAACACTACGTACAAACACAATACACGTGCAGGAAGTTGTATAGAACATAAATTCATTTGATTTATCCTGAAGGAGTGAGTGTTAGGGGCAGTGAGGATGCAGCATATTGAGGACTTTAAACCCTCTGTAAACAAGGAGGTTATGTGACTGATATTGAACTCTACCGTCTTTCATTTCCTCAGGTATTAAGTTAGGTGCCCATAATGCTAACACTAGTGACATTATGTGTTGCCTCAACCTGTACGAACCCATAGAAGAATAATGACCTGGTTATTCAAATGGTTCGTATATTAACATGGGGGCGTTCTTTAGGTATCGTACACTAACACGGCATTCTCATCACGTAGAGAGAGTTCTGCTGAGTCTGCCTAAAGTCTAACTGTATTGGTGGGCGGTCTGGCTCTCTTTCTCTCTCTCTCTCTCTCTCTCTCTCTCTCTCTCTCAATGACCGTGGCTTGGGTGTGGCTTCATGGCTTGGGTGTGGCTTCATGGCTTGGGTGTGGCTTCATGGCTTGGGTTCCTGCCAGGTAGCTGCTGTGGGGCGTCAGGAGGGGGTTGCAACATGACCCTGCATTTTAGTTTTTTGTGGCCCGGTAAAGGGTTGAAGGATACCTAGATGGATGGACCCCTGCTGCTAGGAGAGCCACGAGACTCAGGTGGTGATGGGGCCCCTCTTTTATACCTCCCCAAGGTAACCACCCTAAATGACGCCGTTCTCTTACCTGGTCCTGAAAGCGTCCATGGAGAATCGATTTATGTGTCGCATCATTAATATTTAACCTGTTAACACCTGATGCTTATCATTCTACTTTTATAACTGATTATTATTAGCTATAATTATATCATACATGAAGAATATTATATTAATTAGATCATTAATTCACCTAATAACTGACCTGAAAGTAATATAAACAACAAAATCTTGCAAAACGATAACACTGATAAACACGACGACATTCAATAACAAACCCTGTCATGTGGGGGATAAGAACGCGCGTAAGTGTTGTGTGTGTGTGATGATTATATTATGGAGCGAGTTCATCCTGAGACAGGTCGTGGATAATTTGTAGTAGATAATGAACCTCACCTCACCTAAACAGGTAACTGGACCCTAATGATATAAACCTGGTTAATTGATTGAAGATTTTTAATGAAGACTGCAGGTATTAATTAACTCAAGGAATCTGTAGCTTTTCAGAGTAGATTCTGTAGCAGATTAGTAGATGTTAATGACACAAATTTATACTTGTGTGGCAGTGCAATGGCGGTGAAGGTCAGGTTAGGTTAGGTTTGGTCTGGTCCAGTTAGGTTAGGTCTGGTCAGGTCAGGGTATCTTAGGTCAGGTCAGGTCAGGTTAGGTTAGGTTTGGTCAGGTTCAGTTAGGTTAGGTCTGGTCAGTTCAGGGTATCTTAGGTCAGATCAGTAAGTAAAAGCATTAGCGGACCTGGGCGGTAACTAATGCTTAAACACTTTGCTTACAACACAGCTTCGACCTCAATGTTGAAGAGCAGAGTGTGTCCAGGCGGCATGACCCACCCTCTGCTTGTTCCTGCTTCTTCCTGTGTCTTCCTGCTTCTTCCTGTGTCTTCCTGATTCTCCCTGCGTCTTCCTGCTTCTCCCTGCTTCTTCCTGCTTCTCCCTGCTTCTTCCTGCTTCTTCCTACTTCTTCCTGCTTGTTTACCAGTGCCATTTCTGTCTCTCTTCTGCTTGAATGTTGCCTGAGGCAGGATTACACGAAATTTAGCCCTCCTAAGCTTATTCCATCTGATGATTAACCCTACCAAGGCTAGGTTAAGTTAGATTTGGTTTGGTTAGGTTAGATTAGATGGGGTTAGGTTTGATGAGGCTAAATTATGTTAGTTTAGGTTTGGTTAGGTTACTATATGTTAGGTTAGGTTAGCATTAAAGCGATTAAATCTTCAGATGAAATAAGAAGGGGGTGTTAATCTGTAGGTGATCCTGGAGTTTCAGTAGCAAGGAGTGATACCTCTCGTAGTCTGACCAGGTATTGTCACATCGGGTCATGAGTATTGTTGGTGGTCGGTGTGGTGTAAAGGAAGCAATACACAGTGTTTACATTACTCAAAAGCACTCAACATGACACTCAGTCCTCATACTAATACTGTAGTTGATTCCCTGGCCTCGTTACTGTCACTCAGAGTCCAAACTACATCATTACCGTCACTCAGAGTCCAAACTACATCAATACCGTCACTCAGAGTCCAAACTACATCATTACCGTCACTCACGAGTCCAAACTACATCATTACCGTCACTCATGAGTCCAAACTACATCATTACCGTCACTCACGAGTCCAAACTACATCATTAACGTCACTCAGAGTCCAAACTACATCAATACCGTCACTCAGAGTCCAAACTACATCAATACCGTCACTCAGAGTCCAAACTACATCATTACCGTCACTCAGAGTCCAAACTACATCATTACCGTCACTCAGAGTCCAAACTACACCATTACCGTCACTCAGAGTCCAAACTACATCAATACCGTCACTCATGAGTCCAAACTACATCATTACCGTCACTCACGAGTCCAAACTACATCAATACCGTCACTCATGAGTCCAAACTACATCATTACCGTCACTCACAGAGTCCAAACTACATCATTAACCGTCACTCAGTCAAGTCCAGTACAAAACTACATCGTACCGTCACTCAAGAGTCCAAACTACATCATTACCGTCACTCAGAGTCCACTCATGAGTCCAAACTACATCAATACCGTCACTCATGAGTCAAACCACATCGTACCGTCCTCAGGTCAAACTACATCATTAACGTCACTCAATAGTCCTAAAACTAGTATTGAAATCTCATGATGAATAACGAAGTGAACATTGCAACATACGCTTTACAATTTTAATTAATAATACTAAAAAAAAAATCCTAACCACACCTAACCACCCAACCACACCACATTCCTTAACCACCTTCTCTCTCTTTTTCTTTTACCTGACAAGAAGACCTTACCTTAACTACGGCTGTATCTAGGTGAGCGTCATTGCGAAAGAAAATCGGTATAGAGACATTGTTGTGAAGGTGTGGTCTGTGAAGGCTAAGGAACAGTGGTCTTGACTACTGGATGAGAGAGAGAGAGAGAGAGAGAGAGAGAGAGAGAGAGAGAGAGAGGTGTAAATGAGTCCAATGTTTCATGGTAATTAGCATGTGTGTTTGTGTGTTTTGTATGATAAGGAAATAGTTAAGTAATACCTTTTTTTAGATGGAAGAAAACGAAGTACAGTAAAGTAAATAGACAAATATTAGTTACATATAGAAAACGGGTCAGTAGTGAGTAGCTAGATATAGAAAATGGAGTGTTAGTGACCAGTTATAGAAAATGGGATGTTAGTTACCAGTTAAATAAAGAAAATGGGGTATAAGTAATCAGTTAAAGGTGTAATGGTTATTTAAAGCCTCGGGAATAAGGTATGGCGTCACTGTCTTGGGAATATATGATGTTACAGTAAGTTTGTGTGTTTTAATGTACGTTTGATTACCAAGTTGAAATTCACGTTAATGTGAGGTAGAACGGAGAGGGCTGAGAAGAGGGAAAAGAGAGAGAGAGAGAGGGGGAAGGAAGAAGGAGAGATGGGGATAAAAGAGAGAGAGAATGAGAGAAGAAAGAGTGGGAGTGAAGAGAGATAAAGAGGGAGGAGAGTAAGAGAGAGCGAGCGAGAGAGAGAAGAAAGAGTGGAAGTGAAGAGAGATAGAGAGGGGGGAGAGTAAGAGAGACCGAGTGAGAGAGAGAAGTAAGATAGAGAAGGGGGAAAAGAGATAGAGCGTGAGAGAGTAAACCAGAGAGAGACAGAGACAAAAAACAGTGATAAGTCTATTAACCAACTAGACCGTGTGATTTGCTGATCCCTGAAATAGCTGCGGTTGAAACAATAAGTATTTCAGCACTCGTCCTTACCATCTGATAAAAACAGTGTACCTTGGTTTTGTCTCTTCCCTGCCTCCCATCTTCATTCTCCCTCCTTCCTTCCTTCACATCTTCCCTCCCTCCCTCCTATCTTCCTTCCCATCCATCTACTTTCCCTCCCTCTCTCCCTCCTATCTTTCCTTCCTTCCTTCCCTCCCTCAAACTCCTCCCTAGGCAGCACCAGACTCCCAGACGGGGTATTAGAAAGTTATTTACACATTAGGCAGCAAAAATAGTTTCTCCTCTCCCTGTTTTGAGAAAAGTCACCCGCATCTGGTAAGGTAATGACGTTCTTACCTTTATGGGATGAGAATAAACCACGCAACCTCTAAAATTTACCTGTTGAAGGGAAAATGGGAAGTAATTATCTGTTGGAGGGGAAAATTAGGACATAATTACCTGTTGGGGGGGAAAAAGTCTGCAACTTTTAGAATAACAAATGTCTTGACTCGTGTCGGAGCAATAGACGCCTCACATTCTTTCCCCCATCCCATCCATCCCTCCCCTCTCCTTTCCCTCTCCCCCACTCTTCCCTCCCTCCCCTCTCCCCACCCCACCCTTCCCCCTCCCCCTCCCTTCCCCCTTACCCACCTCTTCTGAAAGCCACGAGGTCGCCAGATGTTGACACGATCCTCCTGTGTTTCGTCAGTATCAAGTACAGGTCATCATCGTGTCTTTACCAATCAAAAGACACGAAAATAGAACGATTACACTCTCCAGGGCATAGTTGACCTGTTATACCAGTTGTTAGCCGTTCAAGAGTATTCATTCATCGTGTGTATCCGAGTAAGTGGATAGTCTACTTTTTTTTTGACGTATCCAAGATTTTCATTCATTTTTTGTTGTTATATTGAGTCATGTAAAGGTGTGGCCTCTGTATAGGTTTGGTTAGGTTAGGTTAGGTTTAGGTTAGGTTAGGTTAGGTTAGGTTAGCAATAGCAAAAAAATTTAAATGTCCCGCGAGTAACAAGACCTGACGGGGTAGTACTTGTTGAAGTCG